GGGGGGGGGGGGGGGGGGGGGGGAGGGGGAGGGCGAAAGAGAAAAGGGGTGCTTATTTTTTTCCATTCCGTGTATAAAATAAGCAAAAGCCTTTTGTTTTTGAAGCAGACAATATTCTTTTTTATGGCTCACTACAATGAGTGCAACTACATCTAAATTCTAAGGAGCTTCTCTGCCTGACTCTTATAACACTGAGACACTAGAAGCAGCATCTTGCTTCAAAATTTAAAAAATGGCTTGCTCTTCTACTATTTGTGCTGTGTGATTGCAGCAAAATTGCTATTCCAGTTTCCCTTCCAGCATAAGTTCACCTACGTGAATTTTCATGAATTTATTTCTTCCTGTCTCAGAGAAACAGAATATGTAAAATGGCCCTCATTTTTCACTTGAAAGTGGAAATAGGAAGGTGGGCTCTTTGCTACCATATTCCTGTGCTCTCACTAGGTATCAACATCCTAATTCACTGTAGTCCTCTTTCACATATGTGTTGGTCAAACCAGAAAAAAAAAACCAAGTAAAAAAAAAAAGTGGAGCAAAACTTCAACTTAGTAATTTTTCCTTTAATTCATCTTCCTAGGTTCTTATCTCTCTGAGTAACACTCTCAGATAAAAGTCAATTTGTGTACTCTCTTCTCTTCTCTTCTCTTCTCTTCTCTTCTCTTCTCTTCTCTTCTCTTCTTTTACTTTTTCTTTATTACTTTTATTTTTCCTTTTTTTTTGTTTCTTTTGACTTTGCTTTCTTTTACTTTCTACTGGCTAATCTGTCATTGCGATAAACCACAGTGTTTCTCTCGGCGTTTTAAGAGCTGGCTTTTTGAACCTTGCTGTTCTTCCCCTTCTTTCTCTGAGGCAGGCTTCCCTGCTTCTTCCAGAGATGGGTTAGCATTCCCACCAGCCTGCCTAGAGATGTAGGAAAGAAGTCTAACGTGCAGCTGCATGGGCCAGAACAGGTCCCTTGTCTCTCCTCCATATCACTCTGCTGCCTGTGCAAGTGGGATGCTCTTCTGCCTCTTTCATCAGCACATCTGCACGGGCAGAAGGAATAATTTAAGTTGGCATTGGTGACAGATTCAAAGGCATTCAGTTGAAGCCCCTGCTGCCAGATATTATCAGAGGAGTTCAAGTGATTCTGGAGTACAAGCTTATTAATATGCTTATGGGTTATTCTGGTGTGTGATTAAGAAATGCTGCGGCATTTAATATTTAATGCCAGTCTCTGAACAATCAACTTAAGTGTTGTTGAGAAGGAAGTATAATTTAAAGCTTGATATCAAAATACTGTTTTATTTAATTTTTAAAATGTGTACGCTGCCCTTCAAAACAGTTTTCTCCAAAATGCTCCAATATAAGACTTACAACATTTGGCCGTATATAGCCTTGTTCACATTGCTCTAATGTGTAGTAAGCAAATATCCTGAAAATAACTACTTTCGTTTGCCTTTTTCCGAAATAATGCATTAGGTTATTAGATCTTCATTATTTTATGGACCCTTGGGTCACCCAGTTTATTCTTTCATCATAAAAGAACAAATGTCTAACTTTAGTTAATTTGAATTGGAGCTGCAAGGCAATTTTAAATATTTTTGGATTTTCATGAGAGTTGTCTTTGGGAGCTCTGTGGGCATCACAGAAAATTCATTGGGTCAAGAACTTAACCCGAAAGGTTTTGTGCTAAAAAAAACGAACAAACGGGTTTTTCAGAAACTTACGTATGGTCAGTTCTTTTGCTGACTTTATCTCCTTCACATTACTTTCAGGTTACTTTGTTGTTCTTAGTTTAACAGAAGAGCTTCTCTTGGTATGCATTGCAGGGGATGGAAGACTTAAATTAGCAATATACTGTGCACAGCTTTAATTGTGAATGCTGTATGCATATTTATATAAATCTCTGCTTTTCCCTTCAAAATCTACAATTATTTGAAAAGATTTTGACAGATGGTGCCCTGCTTTGATGTAGCTTGTCAGGAAAAGTAGTTATTTGTATAAGCATGCCTGTGCCTTTTACAACACCCAGAAGGTTTGATATTAGCATTCTAGTAGATTTGTTCTCCAGATAACCTGGCCAGCTGCCAATGATATATTGGAATCTCAGGTTTACCATGAAGTCAGCCATTAATTTTAAGTGCAATGGTTAATCGGGTTAATTTGCAATTCTGTACTGGGGTTATTATCAGAGAAAATAGGTTCCCCAGGACCATCTGTTTCTCCAGCCTAGTTCCTGCGGTGTTTTAACATACAGCTTCCTTTACCCTGATAACATTAATGGATGACACCAGGCTGGAGAAGAAGATGCTACTGGAGGAGTTATCTTCCTCGATTGGTAACTTTGTGCTATTAGGAAAAGCCATTGCCCTTTTCTTACAAAGGTTGCTTTATATCTACAAACTGGAGATGTGAGGGCAATCTGGCTGCAACATCTGTCAACCCATTGATCGCCAGGGTTGACTTAACTGATCTGGTTGGCTAGGTGGGTGTCCCCTTCCTGCCTCTCTACTCCATGGACGTTATTCTTGAAGCTTCACACTCAGTGGAAGAGGACAGCCATCCCAGATAGAAGAATGTATGGATCTTTGGTCAAGGGTGAATCTATGAACTGGTTGTTTTTTTCTACTTCTTGCCTCTGTTGAAGCTTTATGGCTTATTGATTTTGTTGGCATAAACTGGAATTATTTTACTAGTCTATTTTCTTCTTTTCTCCCTTCAGTTCTTTATATTGTAGCAGGCAACTCATAAATGTCACTGATTTTATTTCCCCTCCCCTTTATTTGTTGCTTCTAAGGAGTTCAGCAGTCCCTTGTTCCTGAAATGTTAACTTATTATTGTTTTCATTGTGTGGTTCCGGCTGTTATGATGTACTTGATATTTTTAATTGGTTTATTTTTCCTATTATTGTAACCAAACCTTTGCTCATTTTCTTCCTTTTCTTCCTAACCTTTACCCCTCTTCTCAGGATTTTTGGCAGGTATTGACTTGTCAGCATGTGCTTTAACTGGTTTGTGCTTCAGATCCCATATCCACCTCCTTTTAAAAGGGACAGTATATATTTCTCTTTTTTCCCCATTACCTTAAAAAGAAGTTTTCTTCACTTGGATTGTGTTATTTCTTTCTTTTTTTTTTAATTTTAAAATATGTACATTAAAAACTTTTTGAATAGAAAAAAAGTATAAAGAAGAATTCATTGCTAAGCTGTTTCAATACAGGTTCCCCCCCCCCAATTTAGGTAAAGTAATTAGATCCCATTTCATTACCAGTCTTAACATTTTCCTGGATGCATTTTATGAACATTTTCTGTTCTTTGACCAAATGAAACAATCCTCTTGATTTAAGGAAAAGGACATACTTGAACATGGTTGTGTTCAACACAGTACTGGAACGTAAACCCAATTTATATGATCAGTTTCCTTGAGATAGCTACTTCGGCACATTTGAGGTCTTTTTTCTTCTTTTTTCATTTTTCACAATTTTTTCACAATTTTTACTGAGAAATAAGCCCTTTGAATTAAAAAAAGATTGGCATCCAAGCAGACGTGCATAGAAATCCACTGCTGATTTTTAAATTGCCTTTCAGGATCGTTTATCCTCCCAGCATAAATTGGGGGGGGGGGTTTCCTCAGTAAATTATGAAGTAGTTAATAATGGGCTTCAGAGAAGAGATGTCTACAGGCCCTGCTGGAGGTGACATTAAAAGCTGTTTTGCTGTTAACGTCGTCTTTTAAAATTGCAGATAGCATCAGAAAAGCTTGACAATTTGGAAGTGCTTCTAATGCAGAATAAATGATCTCCTCTGCTTTCTGGACCTGCAAGTGGGAGATTTCCTCCCAGTGCAAATACCAGCTTCAGAAGAGAGGTTTTTCTTCAGCAGGCATTTGAACATCCTGCTTTGCTAAGAACATGGCATAAATCCCAGCTACTTTAACCTGGACGCTCTTATTTTCAAGTTGTGCCTAGTTTTTCAAAGACATAAAGGGAAGTTTTCTCCACTCGCTACAGCCTGTTTTAGTTTTCAGATGCCTGCATCCTACAAGAGTAGTCCATCCAGCCCAATTGGTGTAGCTGTGGTATATCTCTGAATGCAAGTAGTGAGCATTTCTGAAAGAGTTAACCATCTTTAATGACCTTCAGAATGCATGCTTTAGCTTCTTCTCGTGATTATAACTGGAAGATATTAAGGAAATTAGGGAAAGAAAAGCAGGATAATGACAGAAATACATTTCTAATGAAATGCTAGAAAGCTCTTTAGCTTTTACCTTTGCTAATGTTTACGGCTGGAGTGTGCCTCTAATAGCTTTGAGCATTTCCCAGTGTGAGGCGTCATAATTCCAAATTGCACTCTGAGTTCTTTCCATTGACAAATGTGTCTGTGAAAGATTTTCCCGGGGAGGCCTTCTTTATAACATGAAACATTACATCCTAAGCAAATAGGGCAATTTATAACAAGGGAGATCTTCACTTCTTTGGCATCTGTACTGACAAGTATTGAATTTGAAGCTTCACTTAGGGCCCGGAGAAAGACTTGCCCTGAAGCATTCTTCACTTGTTTGCCCATGTATCATTTGTGATTCATTTTAGAATACTGGTAAACTTGATTCTCTTTTCTGAGACAAAGTTTTTGGTTTTCTTTTAAAGAACGGTTAAGCTTTTTTTCACCATTGGTAAATCTGAAGCCATGGCATAG